TCTGTTAGTCAACTTAGTTTATGAATGATCAGGCATTAACATGAAATAATTTGTTTATGAAACAGAGTGGTCACATAAATGCATTTTACTCAAAATTATATTTGATGTACAATTTTAACCACTCTTCCTCTTTATAAGTTATATTATCTAGCAAGGTATTCACATTCTTCACGTGGACATAAGCCAGAGTTGACCTGTTAATGTCTGTACATTACTTATGAGCCAAGACTTGACCAAAATCTTTATGGAATTAGAATATATCTTTGTTATCCTACCCTTTTTGTCCCTTAAAAACAGTTTTAACACAGGTGCCTGGGTGGCTCAGATGGTTAGGTGTCTGCCTTCGGCTCGGGTCATGATCCCGGGGTCCTGGGATCGAGTTCCGCATCGGGCTCCCTGCTCCCTGGGAGCCTGCTTCTCTCTCTCTCTCTCTCTGTCTCTCATGAATAAATAAATCTTTGAAGAAAAAAAAAACACAGTTTAACACACGAAGCTAGGTGAGTATGTGATTAGCTCCACATTCATCCATTTAGTAAAAGTTTATTGAGTACCGACGTGCCAAACACTGTGCTAGTTCTGAGAAAACAATTGTTAGCAGGACAGACATAAGACAAAGATGACATTCTAGTGGGGGAGACAGATTTTCTTTTAAAACTCAACAAATAAAAAAAATTTACAAATCGTATATTGAAAGAAATGTGCAAAGAGCTAAGATAAGGGTTGGTGCAGGGTTGGCACAGTTTCCAGTAGGATGGGACAGAAAGGATGAGAAAGCAGCAGCTGTTTGAAAAATGGTGGGTGTGGGTATGTTTTCTCCCCACCTCCTCACTAACTCCCCAAAGTGATTATTTATATGGTACTGCACTTCCCTAGTGATACATTTTTATGCATAGTATAACCATATATGTACTTTTAAAATGTGTGTAGCATAGTTACAGCAAAGGATGGAAATAAATATACCCTCTAACCACTATAAAAATACTGTAGAGAAAAATTGTGAACACAATGAATTACTACAGTTTATACAAAGGTTCCTTTCTACAAGTACATTTTGAGTCTCAGAGCCAGGATGATTCAACTGCAGAGGATGAAACAGAACCCCTGGTTTTAGTTATGTAAACACAACCTTGACTTCTTTGGGGTGAGTTGGACATACCATGATCTGCAAATGAGAAAGAAACATAAGACGTTAAAAACAGGAAAAATTTCCCAAAATGGTCTAATTCTCACAAGTGGTTATATGATCTTTGCCATTCTAAAATTTGGGAGCCATTGTCCTCTACCTAAATCCCCCATTCTTGGCCACCGAATGTAGTGTCTGAATGCTTAGCCACTAGAGGGAGAGAGTGTGCCTCTGGTGATTCTGGAGCCAATGAAAGTAACTCATGAAAAGGATAGGCTTTCAAGGGAGCTAAATTAAGCTCCAACCAGCTAGGGGTAAGGACTATTCCAACTCTGGTAGCTTTGGGAAATTTGAGGATGGTTCCTTAAGACTTCACAATGGATCCTCTTCTACTAGTAATTAGACTGCTTAAACTATCCAGATATTTCATCTTAATTTTGAGTATGTTTTAAATTCATCTTTTCCAAGGACCTCCATAACTTTGCAGATACTTAAACACAGGCTTAAATTTTAGGAAGGACTTGTGGCAATTCAGGGAAGTTACGTTTCTCTTTATATATTGGGAATTTATATATAATGAACAACATTCCAATTTTCTAAGATAATTTAGGATTAAAATCTTTGCTATCTACCGGGATGATTAGAATGACTTGTGGGAGCTCTAATTTCAGTCCTTACCAAATATGACTTCAGGAAAATTAATTTTACTTAGATAATAGGCTTAAAAAAACACACAAAAATCTGCCTTACCAATATATAACTCACAGGGCAGAAAAAAAATATGTGTATATATATATATATAAAACTCACAGTAACTGCAATTTTTCTTAAAATTGTCATAAAGTTGTTGTTGCTGACCCCAGCCCAAATGATTTGCTCTCCAATGAAAATTGATTAATCTTGTTTGCATTATGGCACCAACTTTCATTTTCCATAATTTAAAAACGAGCCTATTTGCACAATTGTTTAAAAAATACAATGCATGAAATAAACTCTTAAGAAGTAATTCATTATACAACTTAAATATAGTTACTATACAAGTCCCATGGTATCCATTATTTAGTGTTTATTAATGTGAATGAATTCCTTCCCCACCCTGAAATCTAATGAAAAGAGATGGTCTAAAATTTTACAGACCTACAGACTAGTGTTTAAGATATAGTTGATGATTTTATTTTCAGTGTAGCATTTCTCTTTCCACAGCAGGAAAACACACACATACACACACACACGCACAAAACCAACCCAAAACTCAACAACTATTTTTGGGATTCTTGAAAGGAGTAGGAGTACGATGCTTCCTCCTAACTCTTTCAGCACTGATTTTCTTCACAATCTGTGATATGGTTTCTCAGAAATGCTGTTTGGCAGTCCTGATCATTTCATGTGTTTTCAAACTTAAGCCACCCAGACTACACAGTTCAGTATTTTCAGCTCCTTTCATTTTCCTTTTCCCTTTAATTATAGAAGCCTCTATTCCCTCTTTTTGCAAATGTGGTTAAGTTAGATGCTAAATGATACTATTTGTAGGAGAAATATGCATTTGTTTTTTTCATGACGATCCACAGACGTTCTTCCCAAATAAAAAAGCTGTGCTGTACCTGATGATACTGACGGCAACACTTCCCTCGTACCAACTTTTTGGACCCTCAACCGTTCCTTTGACTTTGGTGAATGCGGCACAAACCCTGGGGAGTAAAAGCAAGTAAACACTCTAATTTTAAACTTGCACTGTAAAGCACTTTCAAAATAGTTGAGCTTCATCTCAGACCTGAATTTCCTTCTCAATTCATTCCCTCAATTCATCCTGATTCGTGTCCCGGTCTCCCCGGTGCCGTTTTCTGAAATTGTACCGCATAGTTAATTGCGAAGCCCGAGTGGGTGGGTCCACGCGCACACCCCGGCTCCGGCCAGGACGCCGATGCCTGAGCTCCGCGTCGGGCGCCTGAATCGTCGTCCCGCTCCCTTCGCCCGGCCTCGTCACAAATCCCAGTTTGAAAGAAAACTTCAAGCGGCCGAAATGAACCTCCCCTCACCGCTCCAATCCTTCCTTCCCAGCCGGCAGAAAACGTGAGATTTATTATGACTTGGGGGGAGCGGTTTGGGGTCGCCGTGGCACTCTCGGAAGCAGGTTACCTGGTCCCCCCTTTGGGGGCGGGGTCCGCTGTTTGCGGGGCCGCAGGGCCGGGGGCGACGCGGCCGGGCGCCCGGGTGGGCGCGAGGGAGTGCGCGCGTCGCGGAGCCGCGGGGCAGCACTTGTCCTGTAATCGATTGCCGAGCGCGCCGAGCGGCCCAGAGCGCAGACACGCGCACACGCGCCCTCTCCAACCCGCGCGCACACGCGCGCGCGCGCGCGCAGGCACCCAGGCCCCGCACACACGCACACACACACGCGCGCGCACGCACGTCCGCCTGCCCGCGCCCTGGGCCCCGCCGTCTGGTGCCGCCGCCAGCCCGCCCTCCGCCCGCGGGCGTCTGCGCGAGCCCGGCCGGCGGGGGAGATGTGCTCGGGCTCCGGCGGATCGGTTTCTCGGGGTTTGACCAGCTGTCCCGGGCTAACCCTGCTCCTCGCTGAAGATGGAGGAAGTAAAAACAGGATTACCCTTAGCTACAGATCCACTGCCTTAGTTTCCACTACCAACTGCAGTGCACAAACACACGTTAGGCACAGGAAAGAAAGAAAGAGAGAGGATACACTAACAGTAAACACAAACAAAAGGGTGATGGGATTATTTTACTGCATGCACTGCTGAGGTAAATCTCCGCTTGGCTTTTGCGTGGTGAAGAACAGCTCTTGTTTTATTTGTCTTCTGATTCATAGATTATATATAAATATGTGTATCTGATTTGCAAAGGGGGGAGTGTTTTCAAAGTTAAGTGTAATTATATAGCATCTCGTTTTGCACTGTGATGTGATCAAATGACTTGTTGCTGTTAACCAGTAATAATAATAATATAGATATTTTTCTCTGGGCGGGATGGATTGTGGTTATGATTAGGATAATGATTTCTGTAAAGAACGCTCAGGGAATCGGGTTGAAAATGATGTCCTCTGCCTTAATTTATCGTCCCCTCCTTGTAATGTGTTTCGGGGATGTTAATCGATTAATCAGTTCTCATCTCTGTAGCTGTCATGGATTTTGACTTGTTTTGCTTTGTTTTAACTTGAATTCCAAGGAAGATTGGGTAGCTTGGAATAAATTGTAGCTGTCCTGGTAGAAGGTAATATCGAGATCCTATTGGAATTTTTTAAAAAAGCAAAAAGCCTGGTATGACACATGTAAAAAGGTAGCAGTTAAATCACTTTGACAGGTTCTAGTATGGGCAAAAGATGGAATTAAGATTTAATTTCTTCCTTTCTTTTTTCTTTCTTTTTTTTTTTTTTCTTTTCCTTTCTCTCTCTCTCTCTCTCTTTTTTTTTGCCAAGGGCGAAAAACAGTCCTGTAAGTTGGCCTAGGTTCCTCGCTGGGTTCTGCCTGACTGTCCCTCCCCTCTTTCCACCCCCCCCCCACCTTTTCTTTCAGTTTTCTTGTCTTAGCTTTTGGTCGATTCTTAAGGAACCGGTGGATCAAGTTTTTTCTCTTCTTGTTAATCGCATTGCTGTAGCACTGACTGACCTCTCTTTCTCCCCCTCTTTTTTTTTTTTCCTCTTTCCTGAAAGTACGTGGTGCCATTCCTGAGTGACTTTTCCTACTAGACCATCCCAAAGGGACGAGGGGGAGGGGTGGAAGGAGGAGGAGGAGGAGGAGGAGAGGGGGGTGTTCCTTTTCTCTCATTTCTTGGTTTTGTTTATCAGCCGATCTGTTTGCAGGATTTGGGCTCGGAATGACCCACCTGTAAAGTGCTTTTCCTTCCTCCTCGCCTTGAACTCTGCAGGGGGCTTGGCTTGGAGGGGGCAAGGGAGGGAAAGAGAGAAGGGGGAAACACAAAAAACTTCTTTCTTTCTCTCTTCGTTTATCTTCAGCCCGACATTGTCACCTCCTCTTTGAGGGGTTAGAAGAAGCTGAGATCTCCCGACAGAGCTGGAAATGGTGATGAATCTTTTTTAATCAAAGGACAATTTCTTTTGTATGTACATTTCGTTTCTCTTTCTCCTTTTCTTTTTCTTTCTTTCCTTCTCTGAGGGTTAATAACCATTTCATTGATGGGGCAGACTTCTTTCGCTTCTCCCTGACGTTTCTTTCTTTTTAATATGTGTGTGTTAAATGTGTACATTTTTAAAGAGATAAACTCATTTGTAAAATATCCGAAGAAACTGCTCCCCTTTTAAACTTTACGGATGCCTTTCTTGAAAGCCTTATGTAATCATAATTTGAAAGAATTTGATAACAGTACAGCAGGTTGAAATTTAAGTGCTATGTAGTGACTGAGTTGGGAATTTGATCTGATTATTCCATAAAGAAAGAAAGAAAAGTTTTTTTGGGGGGGGTGGGGAGAGTGGTGGTGAAGAAGGGGAGGGGAGGGAGAAGGGAAGTGGTTTTGGAGACAAGAAGTGAAGCTGCCTGTTTTCCAGTAAGTAATGGAGAAATTCCAGGAGCCAGGGCTAAATATACTTGGCGATCAATACAGAAATGGCTCATTGTGAATAATTTAGCTGCTGGTGCAGTGAGAGTTTTGAAACTAAAGGCAAAAAGGACCAGGGCCAAAGGAAAAAAAATAAGTAAAAATCTCCTCAGGACATGTCAATTCTTTAAACTTTTTCCTTCAAAGAATACAGTTAGCTTATTGATCTTTTCATTATGTGAAATCAAAGCTAGGGGGTGTCATCTCATACAATTTACTTTTGTTTCTGAGAATTAAGTTCTTGTTTTGTGTCATTGGTGCATGAAAATAATTTCCCAAACTTTAAAAAAGTGATCCCCTTCCTAGGAGCAAAAAGTTTATGAAATTTTCAAAATCAGAATGTATTAAGTTGGCTTGGCATTTGTATCCAACCTTGGTCTGGCAGGAAATTAAGGTTACATTGAACAGGTGCTTACACAGAACTTAGTGTAGGCTAAAATGTCAATACAAGTCTGGGAGTAGGGTGACTGCTGCAGAGACCTTCGAAACACACTTGGGCACTAAATTTTTGTTTTGTTTTGTTTTCTTATGTTTGTTTGTCCTCCCCGCCCCATTAGAACATGATGAACCAACTTGCAACAATTGTGAATAGAGCTATCTGTATACCAGGGAAGTCCTCAAACTGCAGTGTGATTGTGGGAAGTAGTGAATGGTAAAATACTTAAATCCCAGTGAAAGCTGGCACATTTGAGGTGTACCTTCCTATTTTTTTCTTGAAGTAAATTCTGATTAAGGGAGTTATTCCTTTCTCGCTATAGCCCATCTCACAGCACACTTATCTTTCCTATCCTATCTCCAGCAGGAATCAGATCATTTGCAGAAAGAGTTCAGTGACTTGCAAATGAGCACATACAGTACACTGTAGTATGTTTCTTGGGCCCAGGTTGCAGGAGCAGCAACATGGGCTAACCGCTTGGAGCTTCAAATAAGTTAAGCATTTAATGGCAGATACTGAAAGGAATCATTGTGTTAAGGGTATCATCTTTTGTATTGCAGCACTGCACTTTGACTATGGAAACAGAGGCTATTGATGGCTATATAACGTGTAAGTATTCATTTCCATTAATTTGTTATTGATAATAAAATTACGTTTGTGTTACCTGTATTTTATTTTCTGAATTATGTTTTCATCAAGAATTCTGTACTCTAATTTTCTGTTTGTTCACCATTTCACCTTTAAATGAGTTTGAGAAAATACTAGCAAAGAAGCAAAACGAAGGAAATATAGGAATATACCTACTCTATTAATGGTAGTATGTTAGTCAGTAGAAAGTGGCTTAGCAGATCAACACTTTTGCACTGGAGTTTTTTCATTTACTTTAAGTTTAGAATAAGTCAGGTTACATATATGTCTACCGATATGGCATGTACTAAATACTTACTACTCTGTAACCTAATTTTTCTGACACGTAATGTGAAAGCTCCTTAAGTTGACCGTTTTTTTTAGCCAACTTTCCTTTTTAACATCCAACTCTCTGATGGAGCATTTTGGAAAATGCTCATTATAAATACTCTATGCTTGATGGATAAATTAGGTGTTAAAAGAAAACTTATTTTTTCAAAAGAAAAATACTTTAGAAATCAACTATTCCAATTGCCCTTGTTTTACAGTTAAGATTATTGTGATAATCAAATTTTGTAATTTTTTTTTGTGGGCTGGTCGTGGCTTATCATTTCATTCATTTGCTATATATTTCTAAATTATAGTTCCTCATACTTTCTTTTAAGGGGAAAAATGTATTACATTAAAATTTCAGGGCTATGCATGTCTCTGCATGTATGAAGCAAAGTTGGTAATTAGATTTTATGTGACAATGAACAGAGACCAAAAGATTTTATTTTGTGAAAGCAGGTGACAATGAGCTTTCACCTGAAAGGGAGCACTCCAATATGGCAATTGACCTCACCTCAAGCACACCCAATGGACAGCACGCCTCACCAGGTCACATGACAAGCAGTAAGCCTTCATTTTATGATTTTTTTTTTTCCTATTTCTCTAGCGACACACTTGAATTTGTTAGGTCTTTGGGGTCCTCTCACATTGTGGTGTAGCTGCTGCTATAGATTTTGCTAAAGAAAGAACAACACAGATTTATTCCCGTTCATTCTAGTATCATAAAACATGAGCCTGCTTACTAGTCTGACCTATCCCAAGGTGGCATTTGGGAGCTGGTGCTTACCTGTATCAGGTAAGAAATGTTAGACTTTGCTGGTTATTGTTTTGACTTGCCAGGTTTATGACTAGATTTGTTGTTGTTGTTAGATAAAAGAATATGGAAACAAGTCACTTCCAAAGGACTCGTCACAGGAAAAAAAATGAAATAATTTTGTATTGCCTTGGTACAAAACTAATCCATCAGTGGTGGAATTGCAGTGTTACTTTTTTTTTTTTAAACCATGTGCACGTTTCTCCTCCAAAGCGTTGCAAGTGAAGTGTAATTGAAAATTTATGGACCCGATTTAAATCCATTTCTCTAACAAAGTGAAAGTGTTTTGTTTTAGACTGTCCAGAGAAGAACTGTGAAAATTAGGAAGGATGTTTTGAACTTGCAGCAATAGACAGGTTTTGGCTACTATTTTTGATAAAGAGTCATTCATTGATGTAGTAACCATTGTTTTTGTGTAATAAAAGAGCAACTTATATGCTGTCCGTGACAGAAGACCAAGTACTTCATTAAGAATATGGTTTGTTTTCTCTTAATTATAATGTTTAGTTATTAAGTGCAAATGCTGTGTTACTCTTCCTCAAATGTAATTTGAAATCTTGTGTTTCCCTTATACTTTTGTGTGTGTTATATTCTTGTGTAGAAAGGACATCTGACTTATATGGAAATATAACTTAATTTAAATGTCTTCTCTTTGGGTGATATGTGAAGGAAAGGCAGTTTCTTTCCTTTTTTTAAACAAAGATTTAATAAGTAAAGGAAACTGAATCAGCTTCTAAACTATGAACATATTCTCAACTTATTCTGATTATCCAGAGAGAAATCTTTCCAGTTCCCTCTTATAGTTCTCAAAACTTGAGCTTATTATAAAGCTACTAGCTTTGTAAATAGTAAAGACTTCTGAAGTATGAGCAAAAGTATATAAAGTATTATTGAATACATTTTATAGTTCGTTAACTTTAAGTGATTCTAGCTTTGACTTGAAATTTTGATTGAACTATATGAATTTTCTTATGTAAAAGTTTTCTTTTTATTAATGGGAAGTATTTCCCAGGAGATTTCATTCTGGAAGCAGTCGTTGAAATTCCTTTATCACATAGAAAGAAAAATTAATAGTGAGTGACTGAATGTATATTAAATTACAGTGTTAATCTTTTATGATGGATCTTGTAACATTAATTTATTTTTTGGCTAGTTGGCTGTAATTTGACAAAAGTTATACTACTTCTGCAGTGTAGGCAGCATAATTTTTATATTTTAACATTTAATGTTACTAGTTCCTCTGATAATTTTTGTTTCATTTCCTAAAGAGTAAAAATAGATTGATAGGAAAATTTCTCTTAGTATTTAGCTATCGGCTTTGGAAACTTCAGAAACTTTGAATAATCATAGACTTTTAGCTATCATTCCCTAGCCACCACTAGGATATCAGCAGGAAAATGCTTGTTAATTGGCTCCTTTACTTGTGAATTTGATTCTGGTTTGCAAGTAGTCTTCAAAAAAGCAGTTCACCCATTTATTTTAAGTAAACATCGCAGAGTGTGGGCATGATCAATTTGAACAAATAAGGGCTGTGCTTTTCACATTTGAGCTTTTCTCACCCAACCAACAACAGTAAAATTATGTTTGGTAGAGTTTTGTTTTGTTTTGTTTTTCCCCCAAACTTACTAGCCTGTGGCAATTCCATGTTAATACGGTTTTTGGCTAAGCTGCATGTGTTTTCGTGTTCTTTTCCGAAGAGTTGCAGGTGATATATTTGGCTCTCACTTCAGAGCTGTCTGTTGCATCCTTTATGTAGCCTCTCTTTACAGTATCTAGGTTACCCACTTCGGTGTTAGATGGAGAAGATACCCATTTTTCCTTTCTGTTAGATCTAGGAGAATATCAGTATTTTAGATTGCCCAAGCAAACAGTGCTAAAGAGGGACTCTTGTCTCTTACTTAGAACAAGAGAGCTAAAATTGGTCGCTCAGATATTTTTCTGTAACTTGGAATTATTTGCGGGGAGGGGGGGCTGTCATATCACTTGTGTCTGAGATGATTGGTTTTCCTAAATCCATTTAAATGCATTGTTGAACTTTATCAAACGAAAATAGCTTGTTTATTTTCTGCAATTTTTTTTTATATCTTCAAATATACTTCCTGAAGGGCTGTTGCATCCAAAAACAGAATTGCAATTTTGATTGGAAGTATTCAAGCCAAAAGTAAATGGGAACATCTTTATGATAGAGTAAGGTAGCCTCCAGGAGCAGCAAGGAGAGGACAGGACTGTATGTCTAAGAGGGAGAAAGTTATTTTAAAACAGTTTAGAAAAAAAATAAAAGAATTAAAACCTTTGATTTTTTTTTTTTTTAATAAAGTAGCATTCTGGCAGTAAAGTATCAATAACCTGTGATAGCCCCCTTATTTTGCTTTTAGGAAAGGGGTCAGTTTTACCACAAGGTCCTAGTCATTTGTTTAGGTTATTTGATGACTATTCTCAGATGAAGGCTGTCTGTACAACTTGCTGCCAGCTATTGTATAAAAAATAATGACAGCAGCTATCATTATTTGACAGTGCTAGAAAAGAGTATCGGCGACTTGGGGGAAAAACTAAAAAATGTTATAATGTCCGACAGCTTTTGGTTTTAAAATGTAGCATATAAGGTAAAAATCTTAAAAAGTAAAGGATAATGCTGATCTTAACATTTTACAGTAACTATTTCCTATGTTTTAGCATGAATTTTCGTAGAGAACTTTAGACTTTTTCTTATGGAATAGGACCTCTTTGATAAGAAGATGGGCATTGTTGCCTGAGATCATTACTCTACATCTTGAGTCTGCTGACAGTCTTTGGTGTCAGGGATGACAGTATATGCCTTGATGGCTACTGGAAATACACAGTGTTAAGTGATTTTAAAAATAGACTCTGGAAGTTAAGAATCTGAGACAGACAACTCAGACAGAACAATATAAAAATAATCCATATTGTATTTTGGCCCATCAGATGAGACTTACTTTGTGATGATTCCTTCTGTTTCTGGGTTAGCTCAATTCCAGTTCTTGCGTAGTGGCTTCAGTATCGGTTTCAAACTGTTTTATCTATACATGCTGCTTACTATTTTAAGAAATTAAGGTTCAAAAATTCGAAATTAATCTTTATCTTCTACTTTTCTAATGCCAATGAGTAAATTTTCCTTGGAGATAGGTAATGGGATGAAGATACATTGTGACACAGATTTTGTTTCTATTACTTTAAAACTTTTTACATGGATCAACTTTGCAGTCAATACTATTTACCAGCCAGTTTGATGGCCAGGTGGCATGTATGGAATTGGAAGAAGTAGTAATTCTAGTTTTACAGGACTCTGACCAATAATCAGGTCAGGGAATCTAGTTTATTCTTTTCAGAGTGCTTCACATTCATTTTTTTTCCTTAGCGAGTTTCCATTTTTAGAGTATAGTGAAGCAGAAGTATATTATAATTTCCATTTTTCTTATGTAGAAATGGAGGTCTGAAGAAATCGGTTGGCATTTTAGGTCCCTTAACAGAAGGATGGAGTTGTCAGGATTGGGGAATAAAACTGCGATATTACCTTGTGGTTTAGTTAGATCACTTTAACTGATATCTCTCTATAATATCATTGTCTCAAGGTGCCTGTCATGTCCAATACTGACCCATGTGGTAGTGCAAAACTGTATTACAGAGGTATGAGGGTGGAGTGATGGCAGATAATCTTGTTAAGCAGATGCTCTCATGCACTTTTAAAAATATCATTTATATTATGGGACTCATCAGCTTTCTGAATTGTCTTCTGTAGCTTAGTTTGGCAGTCACCCTTGGTTGGATTTCCATGGGATACACCCTAATATAACACCAGATGGACTTGATATAAAAACTCACTATGTTTTGAATTGTACTTAGGCTTATGTGTATACCCAACATACATTTAGTTTTTACTTATTGGGAAATTAAGAGAAAAGCTTGATTTGACTTCTTTACACCTATCAAAGGTAAGTGTCATGGTTATGAACCAAAAGGAAAAAAAAACAAAAGAAACTAAAAAGGAAGTATGTATGTGCAGGAATTAACAGCAGAATTGATCTGTAGTTTTCTTTGCCCCTCATTTCCCCCTCCTGGCATTTTTAGGCTACTTCAACATAAGAATAAAGGCCTGTCTTCAACAAACAAGGCAACTTACTGTTGTAGAGTGTTATCCTTATTGCTTCTGTCTTTGTCCAAATCTGTCTTCCCCACTGGAAGTACATTTTTTTTAATGTAACATGATTGGTTAGGTTCTTTTGGGAGTCTTCCTTCAAGCTGTAATAAATTGAGATCTCTGGGTCCCATGCTTTTTTCTCCTAACTTTAAATATTGATATATTTTGATCTTATGATGTTCTGAAAGATCAATAGCAGGGGCACAGTCATAAAATTGGTAGAATGTGTTGTTTTTCTTTGATTTTTTTTCCTTTATATCTGTTTAGGTCAAATATATTTATTAATCTGGTAATATTTTCCTTTTGGAATTAATCAAGACTCAGAATATCTATGCTTTGAAAGAGGTAAGGAGTATTTAGGAGCTATATATTCCTTATTATAAACGTTTAATCAGCCCTGGAGTGAGAAAAGGATGGGGGGCATAATTTATTGAGCATGTATAGGAAGTCCAGCACTATGCTAGATGCATCCATGTTATTTCACTTAGTCTCCACAATAGCTCTGTGAGGGAAGTAGTTATTCCATTTTTTTAAAAGATTTTATTTATTTATTTATTCATTCATTTATTTTATTTTAGAGAGAAGGGGAGTGCA